CTGCAGATAGCCCACCACAAAACAGAAGTGATGTTGGTCAGTAACTGCAAAGCAGTGCAGCGGGTAGAGATTACCGTTGGAGAGCACACCATTGCTTCGAAGCGCATGCTTAAGTATCTGGGAGTGATGATCGACGACCGGCTAAACTTTAATAGCCACATCGAATATGCTTGCGAGAAGGCGACGAAGGTCATCAACGCAATAGCCAGAATCATGCCGAACAATTCTGGTCCAAGCAGCAGCAAGAGACGTCTTCTGGCTAGTGTTTCCTCATCAATACTAAGGTACGGAGGTCCAGCCTGGATTGAAGCGCTGAAAACGAAGCAGAACCAAAGGAAATTGAGCAGTACGTTCCGGCTCATGGCCATGCGAGTCGTGAGTGCGTACAGAACCATTTCGATGGAGGCAGTATGCGTTATCGCCGGTATGATCCCAATCGGCATCACCTTGGCGGAGGACTACGAGTGCTATATGACGAGAGAAACCAGAGGAGTACGAAAAATGGTGAGAACGGAGTCGATGGCTAAGTGGCAGCAGGAGTGGGATGCAGCAGAGAACGGTAGATGGACACACAGGCTAATACCGACTCTTTCGACCTGGGTGAACAGGAAGCATGGAGAAGTCAACTTCCACTTGACGCAGTTCCTGTCTGGTCATGGCTGCTTCAGGAAGTACCTGCATCGGTTCGGACACACAACGTCACCCTTCTGTCCGGAGTGTGGGAATGTGGAAGAATCACCAGAGCACGTGGTTTTCGAATGTCCTAGATTTGATGATGTGCGAGAGGATATGCTCGCCCTTAGCACGGAGAATGTCGTCGAAGAAATGTGTCGAGAGGAGGGCACCTTTAACGCCGTCAGCAGAGCAGTAACGCAGATCATGTCAGCGCTGCAGCGAAAATGGCGGGAAGACCAACTAGAAAGTAGTAATGTGCTCACACAAGTGCGAACTGAAAGCCGAAGCCGGGAGAACTCTCCGTCAGAGTAGGCTGTATCCACCACCAGGGATAACCGAGTAGAACGTGACGCTGGGAGATAAATGGCTCACAAATTGGAGAGACGATCAGCGAACTGGAAGCGCCAATTAGCTGAGGTAAAGTGAGGTGCGAAATGCACGGCCCCCTCCGAAGTAATACGACAAGTGGTTCCGGGGGAAAAGGGCAAGGCGTCTAAGGAGGTTTTAGTGCGGTAAGAATCCCACACACCGTGTCACCGCGACTGTGCGCCCAGTCGTCAAGCGGTGGCACGATGGCCTTTTTGAAGGTTTCCTCCTTGCCAAAAAAAAAAAAAAAAAAAAAAACAGACAGACAGACAGACAGACAGACAGACAGACAGACAGACAGACAGACAGACAGACAGACAGACAGACAGACAGACAGACAGACAGACAGACAGACAGACAGACAGACTCCAGGAGGCAACATTGTTCTTTATTTTCTGATTTCCTTTTATAATTTTTTATTATTATAGTCACTTTAACACTCTTGGGTCATTCGTGACTTGTCCGGGGGTAAGTTTTGAACTCGTGACTTTGGCGTAAGAGGTATGGATGTTAACCACTACGCCGGGGTCACCCCCTCCTTTTATAATAAATTGAGTACAACTAGTCGTTCTTCAAACAAAATACAAATCATTTTGAAGAACCATTTACAATCAAGCACATACAGACATGAAACAATTATTTACAATGCGGACGATTTGGCCTACATACAAAGGCCTTTTGATTGGCCTGTTTTCTTCTGTGGTGACACCGTAGATGATCCGCAACACCTTCCGTTCGAAAACGCCAAGGGCGCGCGTTGGTTCTCTACGAGCATAGCGCAGGTCTCGTGACCGTAGAGGAACACCGGTCTAATCAGTGCCTTGTAAATAGATAGTCAACTTCGTGTGGTAGCTAATTTCATTCGACCGGAGCGTCCTCCGGAGTCCAACGTAGTCTACAAACAAGCGGCTGGCAGGAGTAGTTGACGATGCAATCGGATCTGGAAACGCATAACCCTGGCCTGAGGGTTACCAGGCTGATTAAAATCACCAAGTAGAAGAAGCACATATCAGTTATCGTAAAATTGAACATATTTGTAGTTCTGCGACGAACGTTTCAGCTCAATTGATCTTAAGGGAACAAAGTTACAACATGTTAAAATTGTCAATTTTGTATGAAAATCGGCATGCGCTGCTATTAAATCGAACAGCACTGTACGTCCACTGAGTAGTGTGTTCCAGAAGATTCTGATGAAAATTTCAAAAGTTTCATGAAAATTCCACGAACATTCCAAGAAGTTCTTCTAAGTAGCATTTTGAGACGCATTTCAAGGAAATTCTACGGAAAATTTATTTGGAGCTCTGTGATGAAATCCAGGGAAAATAGATTTCCATGAATATTTGAAGGAAACTGCATGGAATATAATGGTCAGACATTGAATTAAACTTATACAAATATATTATACAAATATAAACGTAGAGTGACTTTCAAGAATTTTCTGGAGAGATTACCGGACTGGAGAATACTGAAGAGAATCATAAAAGAAAATGTATTTCAGAAAGTATTTTGAAATTATCTTCGAGACAACTGCAAAATTTATCGATGTTTTTTACCCTTCTTACAAAGAAGGGTATAGATATCACTTGAAAAACCGACTATCGATCCGAGGCCCGGAGGGCCGAGTGTCATATACCATTCGACTCAGCTCGACGAGATCGGAACATGTCTGTGTGTGTGTACGTGTGTATGTATGTATGTGTGTGTGTATGTAACGAAATGAATGCGCTCACGTTTCTCAGCAACTGCTCAACCGATTTGGACAAACTCGGCGCCAAATGATAGGTCTTGGGGTCCCATTGAACGCTATTGAACGGTTTTGGAATCGGTGAGCCGGTTCCGGAGATATGGCCGGAATAAGATCTGGTGAATATGGGCCTTCACGCTGGATTTAACGGAAAACGTATCAAAACCATCATACGACACATCAAATTACTACAGAATTCAAAAATAAGATCAATGCAAGTCGTGTTAAGTGTTCCAGACCACATTGGACACACTTGGACATGTTCCGGGTACCCCGGGGAAGTTGCTTGAATATGAATTAAATTAAAACCCATTAAATCACATTAAAATACGATGATAAGGTGATTGGTAGCCTCACTAAATAGACTACACCCGGATATATTCCGGGTACCCCCAGGCAGTGGCGTAGCGTCACTGGATGACACGGGGGTGGGGGGCTTGGTCACTGATAATGACAATAAAATAAATAAACTTGAATAAGTAAGAAGGGTCTGATCACACCATAGGTGGATAAATTCGGGTTTTTTGTTATAACAATAAAAATAATGTAATAAAAATTCCAAGGAGTTTTACAAAAGAAAAACCGTTTGATATTGCAGAATTCCGCCATCAAATGTTCGTGATTTGTGATTTTTTTCGGAAATTTCGTTTCATTCATTTCGTGAAATATGTTTGCTGAAAAAAAATCCCGTTTCGTTTCGTATCGACCATAAATAAAACCCATATCGCATACCCTTGTTGAGTGCTTTTTGTACCTTTTTGTCTCCGGTTTTGAAAGATCGTCGGATACAGTGGCTTATGCTGGTGTAAAGGGCACCGCCGTTGGGTTTGAATGGATATATAGCATCAACTTGTTCACAAGTAGTGTGTTGTGATATGAGGACTCGACTGACTTAGACAACCGTTTTTGCTTACTGAGCTGACAAATGTAGGATCAATCTCAGGTCCTATCACACTAAGGAGATTTATAGTCTTCTCGCTTGCTTATCTTGAATTTTGCGAAACTTATCATCGTCGTCTTCGTCGCCGCCGTCGGTACTGGGTTTGACAACTTGATCGTGGATACCCGTAAAAAAGTACCATAGAGGTACAATGAAATGTATTGTAACAATACATTAGAATTTATTTCATTTACAATAAATCGTATTGACCACAACGATAAATTAACCACAGGATTTATTGTTTCCACAATAGGATCTATGGTAAATTGAATAATCTACAATAGGACTAGGGGGTTGTTTTGTATCTTTACCATACAAAAATAACTTTTTCCCAAACAAATTTGAGCCATTTATCATTAATTTTACTGTTTTTCTATTGTTGAAAATTCATACTATATGGGACGTATCGTACATCTATTGTAATAACAATATTTTAAATTTACTTGTATGAAGTACATACAATAAGACCGATTGTTGGAAATTGATTTTATTATGAATGTATAATATTTTATGGTAATTGTGTGGTTATTTTTTTCCAGTATGATGTGATATGAGTGGAACAATGGCCTTAGAGCATCCGTGGGTGGTCAATCATACTCATGCTCATGCTCACACGGGACGATTATGCTTCCACCGGTATTACAGCTGTAAGATCTGCCATTTCATTTGTCGTAAGAAATATGTACAGAATATGTAAGAAATCCACACTTACATTTGATGTTCATGTCATTTTGTTGCGTGTACGAGGAAAAAATAACATTAAATAAATTTTATCATCAAAATAACCGCTGCTTTTTGAATTTCTTAATTTCTACGAAAAAGCAGATTCCTTTTTTATTAAAACTGATGTTGGTCATTCGTTACCAAGCAAAGTTCTCCGAAGAAGGATCTTTGGATTCACTTTTAGCAGGCGCACAATTACGCAGGAAAGCCACCGTAATCCAATATTTCCCATGCTATCATCCGAACCTCGTGCATTCCGCAGAAAACTGCCAGCATAATCGTGCTCCAACATTTTAAACATGCTTTCGTTCGCCTGCATCAGCCAGCTTCTCCTCCCACTGGGTTCGTGTGTGTGCACCCCACAGAATCTCTCTCCACCCGGCAGCATAAGAGATTCGGAATCCGATCGGTTCTCGACGTCCGTCATCGTCGATACTCGGAGCTTTTCCTTCTTCGTGGGAGCCATGCTGCGAAGACATACTGGCAGGGATCGTCCTACTCTCTCCGTGCGCTCGAATGTCATTCGCATGCGGGACTTGGTGCTGTCGGTATCTCGAGGCTTGCGTCCGTCGGGCTTTTACACGTGTCGCGCTCCTGCCACTGTAGGCTGGCTGGCTGGCTGGCTACCCTGCTGCATACATAATAATCAGTGTTTCACAGAGATTGCCATACCTCTATCGATACAGATATACGATCGGTGCGGAAGAGGACGAGTGAAGCTAGAGTGGAAGTGATTCTGGAGTGTGGTCCTTTCCGGACAATCTAATTCAATCCAATCATCATCATCGGCTAACGGAAAAGGCAGAAGCATTGCATGGTGCAAAACGAGGTAGTGAGTGAATGCGGTGACTTATATTTGATGCTTGTTTTTCCGGGAGTGATGTTTTTCGTGAAGCTTAGTGAATAGCTCTCGAAGCGAAGAGGTGATACATAACACAGCGCAGCCGAAGGATAGAAATTGATAATTCTTAATTAAATATTAATCCAAGTGTTCCGAGGGGTGAGCTAGCCGTAGCGGAGCCAAACTTTTTGGCAAGTTCAGCAAGGATATAGTGAGGATATCGAATTTTAGTTTTTTCATCGAGTGGGAGTGATACTTTTTTGGCAGTGATCAACAAGGATTGAAGTTGTAAATTTGGAATAAGAAACGGAATTGTTCCGGGTGTGGTGAAACCTTTTCCTGGTATTTTGGATACCGAAAATCAATGCTTAGTGTTACGGGTTTCTGCTGCTGTTGAAATAAACCCATCCCATCTACTGATTGCTCACACTCAGCGGAATATGATGCTAGTGTAGATATTGGTGCATTTTATTGGATAGCTAGTGAGAAAGAAGTATAATAGAAAATTAGTTGTTTTATTGGAATCCAGATTGCTTTGAATGCACCCTGTTCTTGAAAATAAGTCATCGTTATAATAAGTTACTCAGCAACTGTCGATGTTTCGAGAATTAAATTCGTTAATTCAACGTGAATCAAAGTGAAGATGCGTGAAATGGAAATTGTTTGATAATTAGGTATATTTGTAGTTTCAAGTCAATTTTGTGATTTTAAAGTGTAGTGCTATTAACTAATTGGCTGATTGTGTTGTGTCTTAGTGGTACATTTGCGAAGAAACAAGGCCGTTGAGTACCTTACAACAGGATTACATCATTTTTTTTTAAATCAGAAGCTTTGTGCTCAAGAACACGGTACCAGGCGTCACAGTTCGGAAGGACTTCACCAATCAACAACGGGGCGATAATCCCGTTTTCCATTGGATTACGACAAGCACTGCTGCAGGCAAAGGCCGCTATCATGTTACTGTAAGTTATTCCTAGAAGATATCTTTTCGTGATGGGGTGATTTGAGGATTTGCCGGGATGAAGCGAACCTCGATGTAGTGGGATACGGTGGGATGGTCGTGGGGCTGATTATCTGATAGAAAAGGTTTTGTAAGATGAGTACTTTAATCGTTGGTTTTATCATATTATAATTGAGCTAGTAGCATTCTGTCGAAACATTGTACCCCTGATTAATGGGGGTCAAGAATAGAGTCTTAAGCATACAAAGCTCTCACACTGTTGAGAACATTTGGATGTTAGAAAACTTCATTTCAATTAATACAAATTTTGCAAATTCATACTAAGTTGAATAGTTTTAAAATGTGTAAAATATTTGAAAATGTAATTGCAGTATATTCAATATTTCAACATATATCAAGACAAAAATATGTTTGAAGTCCATATAGGGTTGGTTTGCCAGATTTGGCACTAGTTAGTAAGCGTATTGAATTTTCAATTTTTTTTTAAATAGGACTCCCTATGTAGTGTTTCAACTGATACCATTGAGTTGAAGTTCAAAGTATTTATGATGCGTCGTAAAAGTTCAGGGAATGGTAAATTTGTATGAATTTAGCGAACTTCGCAAGAGTGCTGAGATGTTCAGTGAATTTTGTAAAAGTTCAGTGATCCTTGTAAAGCTTCATGAGACTTTGGTGTAAAATAGCAAATTTTAGCAGACTATAGACTTTCAAGGCACTTCGTAAAACTTCAGGAGTAGCATAGAAATTCAGATATTCTAGAAACTTCGTAGATCTTCAAAGAACTTAGTAGAAATTCAGGGATCTTAAAAAATGCCTCCGGCTGAAAGTTTTGAAAGAATAATGAAAACTATTCTGCGAAGAAGTAGAATCTTTGTACAAGTCTAGGAAGCTTCATGTAAATTTAGGGAACAATATTTTATTTCACAAAACCTCACAATTGTTCAGAGATCTTTTTCAAGTTATTTAGTGTAATTTATTTATTTCATCAATGAACCGTAAGATTTGATATAGAGAAACCAATCGTTGAGATATTGTCAAAATTCTAACACTGCTTCTTGACGTCAAACTCGGCCTACGGATTCTAAACTCCGCCTAACGCATTGAAACGCCAATGAAATCACTTTGGCCTATCGGATGAAGATACAAATTGATTCGATCGGAGCGCTTCTTTTGTTTTTGGGAATAATGGGTGCAAACCTTCATATCACGCGTTCTCATTGACTTCGTTCCGTAGCCTATAAACTAAAGTATCGTACCAAAAGCGCAATTGGCTTGCTAACTCTGAAATCATGGATTTTTCTGCTTTTCTGGATCATTTGAAGTTTTCTGCTCGATAGGCCCAAAATGAGCGATTAGGCCGAAGTAGTTCTCTACCCTCTCAGAAATTTGATTCTTGAAGATTATTTCGTTGTTTATAATGTGTTGTGATTCAAAGAGTTCAATATAGATTTTATGCTGATGCATTAAGAAGAGTGCCATGTCCATTTGTTTATAGAGTGTCTTAGAATTTACATGCACGATTTAAAAAAAAAACGATAACGTAACTCTGTTTACTGTTCTCAATAGTACTCTCTTCCAGTTAAACTTAGAAAACCCAAGATCCGATCAGTCGTAAGCCAAGTGGTGGATTTTTGATCTCACGCTGCTCATTAGCTTCAGCACAGATGCCTTTCCAACAATTTCGGACACTTTTACCAGTCTGTCGCTAACTTTGTAATCATCTCTTTGAGATTTTGTTGGATTTATACCAGGCTACCGTGTCCTTGTAGTAATGAACCAACGCCAAATCCGGCCAAAACAGTACTGAGGCGTGGTGTTTGCGGATCATGGGTAACAGACGCTTGTTTAAACACTCACGCACGATAACATCGGTTGTCATTGTCTCCGTTGTCACAAACGGTTTGGAAAGCATACCACACTCATAAATGGCTTGCCAAACCATAGCCTTTTTACCGATTTTTTTTTTCGGTAAAAATCGACTTATCCGTGTCGTCAACACTTCGGCCATCACAGGAGTTTTGTAATCAAATTTAACGTATGATTCATCGTCCATAACCACGCAAACCGCGTGAAAGTGGAACTGAATGAAAGTCTCAGTACTTTTTCGTAGCTTTTGGTTTTCGGATTTGAAAGATCGTCGGTTGCAGTGCTTGATTACTGAGCAGAAAAACGCGGTCTCACTTTCAAATTAAAGAGATTTATGGTCAAATCACTTGTTTATCGTGTATTTTGCAAAACTTGTCGTCGTCGTAGGTACTAGGTTTGAATGGTTACAACAACTTCAGTAACTGTATGATGTGATATGAGGGGCTCGGTGGCCTTAGAACGACCGTTTTTGCTTACTGAGCAGAACATTTTGAGTCAAATCTCAGGCCAAGGTTGCAAATACTCATTTCAGCTAAAATAATGTTTTTCGGAATAACAAAACCAAAAGATGGTATGATGGCATGTTTTACTTGTAACTTACAAGAAGAGGTTACAAAGTATGCGTTTGAAACATAAAACCTGTAAAATTTGCTTTCTATGAGTCACAATCATCGATTTGCTGATCGCTGAGTGAGTGAGTGTGTGAGTGAGTGATGGAGTGAGTGAGTGAGTGAGTGAGTGAGTGAGTGAGTGAGTGTGTGAAAAATCACTTATTGAGACTCTCATGAAGTGAAATAAACAGGTTTAATATGTCAAACACATTCTTTGCAACCTCTTCTTGTATCCTACACGGATAGAAATCTCCTTATACCTTTTGGCAAATTTCTATTGCTGATTATTCATAAAATGTATAAGTCAACTAATAAGCAGGCGCCTTGTAAAAAGTTAATGAAGATCATGTGTCAAATGAAATGTATAAGCGGTGACACATACCTTTTATGCATTCTTATTGGACCTATGTGGTTTGTTTTATGGAATGTATAAGGCTGATGTTTTGGCAAAAATGTATAAGTGAAACACATGAATAAAATAATTGATTTTCGTTTCGTGTACCAATTCAAAATATGATCATGGCACCTAATTATTTCATAATAAAAAAAAACATTGTTTTAGCTGAAATGAGTATTTGCAACCTTGTCTCAGGCCCATTCACATTTTATTTGATAATATGACTACATGGTTATAACAGCAACTCGATGATTAAAAAGGATCTCGTTTGCCCCAAGCTCTTTCGCGTTATATGATCGTTAGGGCATCAATTCAGCTTATCGTTTACCAAAACGAACCCTGCTTCAAACCCAACCCTCTTACCCAACATCCCAGTGATTCTTCGGGGAAGTGCAGAGGACTCCACGGGTTCCATCAAAGCGACTGCCCTGCGTCCGGGCACGGCCGGCGCTGTTATTGCCTAGGTTGAGATCACCAGTTTTTATACATTGAAGATGAAATCTAGTCCCAAGCATCGTCTATTAGTTATCTTCAGTTACAGCTGATCTGGCAATAGCAGAGTAGCAACCGCATGCGGTCAATTATGCTCTTATAGGTGTTACATATTTTCCAAATATATTAAAAAAGCAATATTCTTGTTTGTCACCTGTTTGAAAAGGCACTCAACAATCACTAACGAATTGTATTGCCGATAAAGCCATCATAATTTCAATGCTGTTGTCTTATTGCGTATGATGTTTTCTGATTATATACTCATTTAAAGTTTCATATTTCTTGAACGAAATTATTTGATTTTTTTCCAAATTCACCGAGCATTATCATAGTGCCCGCAAATCAAAATACTGATGTTCGGTCACAAAACAGAAAAAAAAATAGTGCAAATGCAATAATTTCCGTTGAACTATTACTAAAGAACTAACTCTAGGATCCTCAGTACTTGTATCACAAAAATATAATTTGAAACCAAAGCTGATTTGTAAAACGAAAATATATGATTGTCATCGAATTAGTAATTGGAACAAATGAGAATTGAATAACGATACTTTCGGTGTAATCAACGTTATTGCTATTATCGTCGATGATGAACAAAGAAAGAATGGTTTTGCAGCGATTAAGAGTGTACTTATTATACGCAGCTAGTACTGAAAAATGTACAATTTGAGGTACTAGCATAGCAGAGTACAACCAACCGGTGGATACTAACGATTTTAAATTGGCTCACTACTTGACTTACCTATTGGTCTCAAGCAAATCGATTAACGTACCCCATTCTAGTCGAAATTCTAGTACTACACTATGTTTGTTTTGATTCGCTATAAAAGTTTGAGAGTTAAAATGAAGGGTTCCTGGATTTTCCTATGTTTCGAGGGGTGAATTGATTAGCTTGGGACCGAAGATAGTACCAGAGCTGAGCCAAAAAGTTGAGCACGTTTCTTCGGGACCTACTAGTCTTAGAGTTACCTCTATGGTACAACGGTGTACAAGGTTACAAATACTCATTTCAGCCAAAACAATGTTTTTTTTTTAATTATGAAATAATTAAAAATCATCAGAGCTCAATTTCAGCTGATATTCTAGAAAATTCTGATTAACCATCACTTCATTTATATTGTCACTATGCCCATAATAGAACATACGCATTTATGGACTCATCTGTTTCTTGAGGCTTCAAGTTTGGTGCGGAATAACGTTAATGATACGGGTGGGTGTAACAATAGATTATCACTTTAATTTATTCGTTTTAGAAGCTCATTGTAAATAAATTTATTTGATTTAGTTCATATAATTTTATGTAGAGGAAATGTATGTAATGTCACCCTCAGTGCCCTAATTTGGGCCCATACATAAATTCAGCAATCGACTAAATTTTCAATAGCAACCAAAAATATCCATTACTACCGTCCCAATGACGCGTTCATCTAGATACAATTGATAAATAGCAGATTTTTAGCGATGGGCCCAATATTAGATTCATAGGCCAACATTAGAGCCATTTCCCCTATTTCTTAAATTTTAAATGGATCTACAAAATGTTCCTCATCACCCAAAAAAAAACTGCTGCTCACTGCGAAATATAATCAAATTTGTAAGTTTTTTTGCGGATGGAATTCTTAATGCTTTAAAAGT